GACAGAAAATTTAATGTACCAGTGGAGTTACTGGGAATAATGCAATAAGCCAAATGGAAAATGACTCTGCTGTAATGTGATTTCCACTGATGGATGCCTAAATAATGATACTCCTTGTATCTTTAATTATTCTCAACACCTGTGTCCAATCAATGGTAACAGCTTTTGGGAGCTGCTGGAAGAGAAGCAGCTTATGCCTAAAACCCAGAGACTCATTTAGACATGTAAATATGTGAATGTGGTCAATGGGACAGAATCTAGTTGGAGGTCTGTGACTTGTGGAGTCCCTCAGGGGCCGGTACTGGGACCGGTGCTGTTCAGTATTTTTTTCAATGACCTGGATGAGGGAACAGAGTGTGCCCTCAGCAACTTTGCTGATGACACCAAACTGGGAGGAGTGGCTGACACACCAGAGGGCTGTGCTGCCATTCAGCGAAACCTGGACAGGCTGGAGAGTTGCGCAGGCAGAAACTTGATGAAATTCAACAAGGGCAAGTGCAGAGTCTTGCATCTGGGGGAGAACAACCCCATGGACCAGTACAGGTTGGGGGCTGACCTGCTGGAGAGCAGGGTAGGAGAAAGAGACCTGGGGGTCCTGGTGGACAGGAGGATGCCCATGAGCCAGCAATGTGCCCTTGTGCCCAAGAAGGCCAATGGCATCCTGGGGTGCATTAGAAAGGGTGTGGTTAGTAGGTCAAGAGAGGTTCTCCTCCCCCTCTATTCTGCCTTGGTGAGGCTGCATCTAGAATATTGTGTCCAGTTCTGGGCCCCTCAGTTCCGGAAGGACGGGGAACTGCTTGAAAGAGCCCAGTGCAGAGCCACAAAGATGATGGAGTGGAACATCTCCCTGATGAGGAGAGGCTGAGGGAGCTGGGTCTCTTCAGCTTGGAGAAGAGGAGACTGAGAGGTGACCTCATCAGTGTTTACAAATATGTTAACGGTGAGTGTCAGGAGGACAGAGCCAGGCTTTTTTTTTCTCTGATGTCTAGAGATAGGACAAGGGGCAATGGGTGCAAACTGGAGCATAGGAGGTTCCATGTAAACATCAGAAAAAAACTCTTTCCTGTGAGAGTGACAGAGCCCTGGGACAGGCTACCCAGAGAGGCTATGGAGTCTCCTTCTCTGGAGACATTCAAAACCCGCCTGGACACATTCCTGTGTGATGTGCTCTGGGTGACCCTGCTCTGGCAGGGGGGTTGGACTGGATGATCTTTCGAGGTCCCTTCCAAACCCTAAGATTCTGTGATTCTGTGAATGTGCATATATGCTTATGCACAGAAAACGTTTTTATCATGATGCATAATTTAAAAGCAGGTGTGCTACTGGTTTTGCAGAGATGAAGTCTCAAGTTTCATCTTTATGTAACTGTAGTATAGAGTGGGGAGGCTGAATGGGGAACACTGAGATTTCCAGTAGCTACCTGTGTAAAATGGAATAGCATTCTCTACAGAATTAAAGAGTTGGAGCTTATGCAACAGGTTTCTTCAGAGCTAATACAAATGCAATGTTTGTAGGAAGCTCTCTGCTTCGTGTTACAGCTTTCCTTGAACCTTCTCGTATGGTGAGCTTTTTGTACCCTACTTGAAAATAAAAATTCTTCCCTATGAACTTAAACTAAACTTAATTAATAAGCAAGTTCTTTCATGGTGTTCCCTCAGTTACCATGACAAGACCTAGATTAGCTGTCTTTTCAGGTATGATTTCAATGAAATTTAATCAGTCCAGCTTCCCTTAGCATTTTTCTGTGTCTTATTATGCTAACCCTTGACTGTACATGATCTTTCCATTTGCTTTAGTCATAAATGGTGTGCAATAGCTCTTTTAGTACCGTCTGTTTGTTCTGAATTAATGTGGATTTTGCATTCTTGGGTCAAAGCCCACAAGTTAATGACTTTTGCAAAATTGGTAATTTGGGAAAGTGAGCTATTTACATTAATAATGAAGCTGTCTCTGCCATGTTTATTATTTTGCCAAATAATTTTCTGGAGTTCTGAGTGCAAAAATATCAGTTGTTGTGCAAACATCAGCTTCAGGTCCAGAATTCATGCATTTAGCACCAGACAACAGGTAAGAAGAGCAAGTGCTGGATATGGCCTTTACCTGTCTGGAGTGTTTGTTTGGCTTTTTTATAGATGGCATTTTGAATTTTCCTTGCAGCATTGGATTTATGTGACTAGCCATTAACTTGTAAGGAATGTGATGGCTGTCTCTAGGCCTTTGGCTTAGTGCCAACAGTGAATTTGCAGACCAGTTCAAGGACAATCTTCCTGTGTGTGTTTACTGCATTATCTTTCAAATTCTTTAACACTTACCTCTGGTGTTGTATGAAGTCAACCAGAAAAAGTTAAATTGAGTTGCCCATTATTTTATTTGCTGAAGAGATCCTGTAGGTACACAAGAAGGTCAAGATTCTCATTGAAGCTGTTGATGAATTGCATTGCATACATTGTGGTTTTTCTGTCTCCTGCCTGCCTCCTCCCACTGCATACGTGCCACTCTTTTATCCTCTTCTATTTCCAGCACACCTGAATTCACCTCGTCTTGCTGGAACACTGAGGAACTCTGTTCATTGTTATGTCCTTCCCCTTTCTCTGCCGTGTGTCAGGGGCTCTGTCTGCATTCTTCCATGGCCCATTTCCTTCTTACTGTAAGCCCTATTAACTTTCCATGGCAGAGACACTGTGTCCCAGGGTTTTCTTCTGCCGTGGGAAAACAGTTGTTTATCCATTGACCATTACAGCAGTGACAATCACAGCTTATGGGCTGCAAGCCAGATATAAAGGGCACAACGTAAAGCCCATTTTTCTTGTTTATCTGATTCTCCACTAAAATTAATAGACTTGAGAGTCAACACTCAAAAGTTGTTATACTTCAGGCAAAGGGAGGTTGGAACCATTGGGGATGTAGGCACAGGTAGATTTTGTTTGGCTGTGAAATTGGTTTAAGGATTTCTTACCTCTGGTTTAATATTTATTCCCTTTCAATCAGTCTTAGTTCTTGATGAAACCATGTTATGAAAACATTTTGGCAAAATGTCTTAATTTAAGAAATACACCATAAAGAAAATATGCCAAATGACTATGCCGTATGTGAAATCTTGCTTTGTTTGTCTTATGCAATCCTGCCCTTCATGTTTTCCTCAGACTAGAAAAATCTCTTGGCCAGGATGGTGCATTTACCAGAAAGATCGGTTTCTGGTTCTTTAAGCATTATTGTACAGCACAATAACATTATTTATTATTCAGTGTAAAGAGTATTATTGCCTGATGAATACCAGGTGGCTACACATGACCTATACTTGCAGGAGCATCCTACAGTCTGTGGACATCTAACTTGCCACCTAACACATCTGCAAGTACCTGCCATGGCAATCAAGTAGTAGGTGACAGGTCTGCACAGAGCTATGTTGGCTGAATATTATATTGGGGAATCACTGTGCCCATGTCCTGTTACCTGCCTGTAACCATAGCCCAGTAATGGCTTGGCAAGCTGTACTTTTTCAGTGCCCTGGCTTGCTGCCTACCTAGCTACCATGAACTAACAGCCTCTGCATGATGTGTCAGATTGATAAGCCTAAACACAAGAGATCCAGTTCTTCCCAGCTACCCAGATATGCATAGGTCCAGCACTGCTGACAGTCAGTCCTGCTGTGCATGGTCATAAATGAGAGGAGAATCGGGCTTAGAGGTTGCCACCAATAGAATCAGGCTTAGAGGTTGCCAAGGATGTGCCCAAGCTGTGGGAGTTTCTAGGCTGGGAACCGTCAGACACAGTGACATGAGTCAGCTGGGGTGGATTGCAGATGTGTACCTTGGTAATGGCAAGTCTGAGATGCCCTTATGCTTTAGTAGCTAAGGCTCCTCAAGGAAGATGAGCATCTGTAGGGCTGTTTGTGTGTTAAATGCATTGATTTGCCTTAATTTCCAGTGTTCTCACATGGAGCTTCTCCCAATGGTTTTGTTGGTGTTATTTTGTAACAACAGTTTTACACTTGCAAAAGAGCTAGATTCTGCTATTCTAGCTGTATAGTCCTGTTTGCTTTGCAGGATTTTGGTACCTTGGACCTTAATCCATTTACATTTAAACAATGAATGCAAATGTTACTGGCCCAGAGACATCTCGCAAGAAATCATGAGGTTGGCTTAAAAAATCAAGAGATTTTTACACAAAATGTGAAATTTGCGATTCTTTGACCTCTGTTTTTTGATGTGGTATTATGTGCACTCAGAAGCTCTTTCCTGTGACATGGAAGATAGGAAACCTCTGTTAGTTTCCTGGATCATAGAATGGTTTGTGTTGGAAGGGACCTTAAAGTTCATATACTTTAAATGCCCCTGCATGGGCAGGGACACCTCCCACTAGACCACATTGCTCAAAGCTCTGTCCAGCCTGCATCCACAACTTCTCTGGGCAACCTGTGCCAGTGTGTCACTACCCTCACACTAAATAATTTCTTCCTAAAGTCTAATCTAAATCTCCCCTCTTCCAGATTAAAACCATTAGCCCTCATCCTGTCACCCTTTTAAAAAGTCCCTCCCCAGCTTTCCTGTAGGCCCTTCAGGTACTGGAAGGCCACTATGAGGTCTCCTCAGAGTTTTCTCTTCTCCAGGCCAAACCACCCCAACTCTCTCAGCCTTTCTGTATAGGAGAGCTGCTCCTGCCCTCTGATCCTCTTTGTGGCCCTCCTCTGAACGTGTTTCAAGAGCAATATGTCCTTCCTGTGTTGAGGGCCGCAGAACTGGATATAGTACTCCTTGTGGGGTCACATGAGTGCAGAGTAGAGGGGCAGAATCACCTCCTTGGCCCTAAAGGTCGTACTTCTTTTGATGCAGCCAGGGACACGGTTGGCTTTCTGGGTTTCAAGCGGACATTGCTGACTCATCTTGAGCTTTTTGTTCACCAGCATCCCCAGGTCCTTCTCCTCACGGCTGTCTTAATCCATTTTCTGCCCAACCTGTATTTGTGCTTGAGATTGCCCTTGCTCAGGTGCAGGACCTTACATTTAGCGTTGTTGAACTTCATGAGGTTGGCATGGGCCCCGCTGTCAAATCTGTCAAGGTCCCTCTGGATGGCATCCTTTCCAGCCAGCCAGTCAACCACACCACATGGCTTGGTGTCATCAGCAAACTTGCTGAGGGTTGACTCTGTCCTGCTGTCCATGTTGCTAACAAAGATGCCAAACAGCACCAGTCCCAACCCCTGAGGAATGCTACTTGTCACTGGTCTCTAACTGGACATCAAGCCATTGGTCATTACTCTCTGAGTGTAACCATCCAGTCAATGCCTTATCCACCAAATGGTTCATACATCAACTCCATACCCTTCCACTTTTGAGACCAGGATGTCATATGGGACAGTGTCAAACACTTTAGGTGACATAATTTGCTCTTCCCTTGTCTACTGACGCTGTGACCCCATCACAAAAGGCCACCAAATCTGTCAGGCATGATTTGCCCTTGATGAAGCCATGTTGGTTGACACCAACCACCTCCCCATTTTCCATGTGCCTTAGCGGAGTCTTCAGGAGGATCTGGTCCATGATCTTGCCAGGCACAGAGGTGAAACTGACTGGCCTGTAGTTCCCTGGATCTTCTTTCCTTCCCTTTTTGAAAATGGGGGTTATATTTCCTCTTTTCCGGTCAGTGGGAACTTCACCAGACTGCCTTCACTTTTCAAATATGATGGAAAGCAATGTTGCAACTTCATCTGCCAGCTCCCTTAGGAGCTGCAGGTGGATCTTGTCAGATCCCATGAACTTGTGCACTTTCAGGTTCTTTAGATGGTCTCGAATCTGAATGTGGATGAACTCAAATGTGGATGAACAAGTTAGTTCATGTCTTTAAAATCAGAATATGGCATTTAACTTTTTCCCTTTTACAGTACCATCATAGTTACTTGATTTCTCTACCGTAAGAAATGTATAAAGCTCAGATGTAATTCCATTTTAATGCAATATGAACATCCGTCAGTTCTCATACCAACCAGCCAGAAAGAATATACTTATGCAAACAAAAAGGGAACAGCAAACTGCATTGTGTGATGGAGATGTTTTGTGAGCTGTCCTTATAGGGGCTGATGTACAAGGGTCCATATCTGAATCCGATTCCATGCTTTTGGTGGCTGAAGTCCTTCTACCAGTTAGAAAAGTAAATAGTCCACTGCTTAAACTCACTCCCTTGACGACCACTCAGGTGTAGAAAGTAACACCTGTAGACAAGTGTTTGAGAGGAGTTAGGGCCAGTGGGTTTGTGTGCTTTTAAAGGCTTTTTGAAATGGATCTGTCTGCTGTTTTGTGTATGTATGATGCAAAATACCTTCTAGTATTGACTCAGCCTTAAATACTGCTAGGCAAAGAAATTATAAATAAAAAGATGAAATAATAAGTAATTGCAAACAATATAAAGTTTGCCACATGCATTTGACTTAATTTCAGTGAGATTTTAATTTAATAGGTCCTCATGTGCCTCAAATAGGAAATAAAAGTGGAGATCTGTCATTAAGGAAAACTTGTTTTTGCTATCTAACCAACAGCATTTCTCTCACAAGGCTTTTATCAAACCATTGGAGAGGTGTTATTAGAGATGCAAAAAATGGTTTAGAAGAAGAATTCTTCAGCTACCTAATAGGTTTTGTCGGGTCTCTTGCAAATTACTGCATAGTTGCTTCCGTACGATAAAGTACTACAAAACTGAGGCAACTTGCTTTTTGAAAGCAGGCTCAGGAAATAAAAGGAAAAAAAAGATTAAAAGTGTATTCTGGACATGAGAAATCACTGTTGACTGAATTAGATTATAATGACATCAAAGATTAAAGAATTAGAAAATTATGTGAATCAGCCAAACCCAACAGCCAGTCATTCTCATTTCATGTTGATATTCGTCTTTCATAGGTGAAGATTTTAATGAAAGAAAGGAAAATGCTTGAACATTGAACTGAATTGGATTAAGCACACATTGTTTTTCATTCTTATGCCATCTTTATTAAATTAAGACTTTTCTTTTGTTGAGTACAGTAGGGGTTCATACACTATACTGAGGGGAACTATTGTATTGTCCCATCACTGCTGCTTCAGAAGTGAAGCAAGGTGCACTGTGCCTTTTTAGCTAGAGATTCTGTGACCTTGGATAAGTCATATCATATTTTTGTCTGCATTTTCTGCTGGAGGCATGTGGATGTATTTTTTCCCTACCAGAATTTTTAATGTACAACAAAGAAATTCTCTTGGATAAAAGGTGACATCTACCATCTGTATTTTCATAGTCGAACTAGGAATTATGTCTCTGAAATTAAATTAAGCATCTAGGTATTAAAGATGAGCACATAATAACGCTAGTATGTAGGAATGTGTTTGTCCCTTCATTTGGAGGGAGCAATGGACAGAGGATTAATAACCTGAAGCACCCAGCATCTCATCACTTTGAGTCTGTTCAGAGTTTCAGTAACACCTTGGAGAACCAGGAAAGCAAGAGAAAAGGGCTGAAATACTTATGGTCCTGTATACCAATTTTTTACAGGCTCTTACAAAAGAAATAAACCTTTCATGTCATGTGTTAGTCCTGTAATGTGTTGCAGGTTCAGAAGCAAGAGAAGTGCTTTGCTGTGTGTGTGTATGCAGACAAGACAACATGGCAGAGGAAATGTTCCATCGTTACAACATTTCAGCCAAATTGTGCTATAGGCTTAGGAAAGCATCTGTGAGGGGAGTGAAGAGGTACTGAGGAACTTCAGGAAGGAAACATATTAGGGGGTTGAAAGTGTGTAGAGGGCAGTGGCTGAGATAGTAAAAGATAAAAAGTAATAGGGAAAGCTCTGGAGAAACAGCTGAGGAGGAATTTGTGTCACTAAATGCCAAAATCCGTCTTTAATTTAAAAAGGTTCAAGCTGATTTCATATGCTTTTACCCACCCACCATTTATAGTGCATGTGAAATGACATCAGATCACCATTTGGGATACAGGCAATAGTGCTGAATTAGCCCTTCAACATCTTCACTGCATTCATAATGAATTCATCTAAACCAAGAAGATGAAAAAAATGTGAAGCAAGTGAGATGAGAATCATGTTCAGAAGACACATAGTGACTACATATGCAGCAGTTAATATTTTGTAGTACACTGGATGCTTTGTGGTGTCCTGTTTACACAAGGCAATCATAAACCCAGGTTAATCCAGTTACCAGTGTGTTTACTGTTGATGAGGGTTATCAAGGTGGCACAGAACAGCCACAGGCATTGCTAATACTGGATTGCTGTATGTATATATGGCTGAAGTGCACATTAATAATGATTGATGTCAGTGTTATTATTAGATCACAGTTTCTATCAGAAAGTGTGTCTTCTTCAATGATTTTTTTGCAATACTGGGAAAACTCATGGTGATATGACTGGCTGATCCCCTTTTATACTCCAAGTTAGGTGTGCTATAATTTCTAATTCTGAAGAGCAGTAATGGAAACAGAATAGAACCGACTGCAGTTTGTCTAAAACTGCAGTTCAGCAGACAGAGGGAATGACTGTGAGGGCATAGGTACCTTGCAAAATACTCGTTTTGCTTAGGGCAGCTATAATATGAAGGGATTCTCTTTAAGGCAAAATGCTTTACTGCCTGATCTTAGACAAGTAATAGCTGACTAAACAGGCTGTATAGCTTCATGTATAGAGGGTAAACAATGTTCCTTGAAATTCTGATACAAAAATGCGCTGCTCTCTTTTTCATATGTAACTTTAATTTTTTAATGGCTTCGTATTATGCTATTGGCCTTCTTGCAATTTAACCACACAATATATGCAGATACACATGCATGTGTAGACAGATTTTTCCTAACGATTTTCCTGGAAGGGATTGAAACTAAGGTGTAGAATTGCGTTTGGAGTAGTGTCAGACATTCTCTGAAATGCACTTACTATATAGGTAGAGGAACATGTTCACAGTGAAGGGTTTGAGAACTACCTCAACACAGGTTTCTAATAGATTCCTTCTTATCTCCTGTCTTCTGATCCTGTTTCAATCAGCAGAGCTCACTGAGGCTGTGCATTTAGCAACAGACTATATTACAACTCTGTAGCGTCACACAAAGTGATACGGTTGTTCTAGAAATCAGTGGATCTAAGAGTAACTTTGAACTTAATCAAGTCCTTGAGGGTGATTTCAAAAGACAATGACCTGTCACTACAGCAAGGTTCTTTTCTGCTTTGTTATGTTTTGTACACTGTTGTGTCACCTCTGTGAAAGTGAATGGAAATCAGACCCAGTGTGAGTACTTTCTGTTGAAGATTAAATGAGCTCCTTTTTTTGTCAGAGGATGTAGGGAGGCAATTAGGAAAGCTAAGGCCTCCTTGGAACTTAACCTTGCAAGTCAGGTTAAGGATAATAGAAAGGGCTTTTTCAAGTACATAGCTAGCAAAACTAGCAATAGAGGCAATATTGGCCCATTGAGGAATGAGGTGGGAGCCCTGGTGACAGAGGATATAAAGAAGGCAGAGGTGCTGAATGCCTTCTTTGCCTCTGTCTTCACTCCTGCAGGGTCTCCCTATGAGCCCCAGATTCATATAGCCCCAGAAGAGGTCAAGATAGAGGAAGAGTTTGACATGGTAGATGAAGATTGGGTTAGGGATCAGTTGAGTAATCTGGACATCCATAAATCAATGGGTCCAGATGGAATGCACCCAAGGGTGCTGAGGGAGCTGGCGGAGGTCATTGCTAGGCCACTCTCCATCATCTTCAGTAAATCATGGGCAACAGGTGAGGTGCCTGAGGACTGGAGGATAGCAAATGTCACTCCAGTCTACAAGAAGGGCAAGAAGGAGGACCCGGGTAACTATAGACCGGTCAGCCTCACCTCCATCCCTGGAAAGGTGATGGAACAACTTGTTCTTGTCACTATCTCCAGGCACATCAAGGACATGGGGGTCATCAAGAGCAGTCAACATGGTTTTATCAAGGGTAAATCATGTTTGACTAACCTCATAGCCTTCTATGAGGAAATTACTAGGTGGATAGATGATGGTAGAGCGGTAGATGTGGTTTATCTTGATTTCAGTAAAGCATTTGACACCGTCTCCCACAGCATCCTTGTGGATAAGTTGATCAGGTATGGGTTTGGTGACCAGGAAGTGAGGTGGATTAGGAACTGGTTGAAAGGAAGGAGTCAGAGAGTTGTAGTCAATGGGGCAGAATCTGGTTGGAGGTGTGTGACTAGTGGAGTCCCACAGGGGTCGGTACTGGGACCGGTGTTGTTCAACATCTTCATCAACGACCTGGATGAGGGTATAGAATGTACCCTCAGCAAGTTTGCTGATGACACTAAGCTGGGAGGAGTGGCTGACACACCAGAAGGCTGTGCTGCCATTCAGAGAGACTTAGATAGGTTGGAGAGTTGGGCGGGGAGAAACATGATGAAATTCAACAAGGGGAAGTGCAGAGTTTTACATTTGGGGAAGAACAACACCATGTCCCAGTACAGGTTGGGGGCTGAACTGCTGGAGAGTAGTGTAGGTGAAAGAGACCTGGGGGTCCTGGTAGACAGGAGGATGACCATGAGCCAGCAATGTGCCCTTGTGGCCAAGAAGGCCAATGGCATCCTGGGGTGCATTAGAAAGGGTGTGGTTAGTAGGTCAAGAGACCTGGAAGGGATTGAAACTAAGGTGTAGAATTGCGTTTGGAGTAGTGTCAGACATTCTCTGAAATGCACTTACTATATAGGTAGAGGAACATGTTCACAGTGAAGGGTTTGAGAACTACCTCAACACAGGTTTCTAATAGATTCCTTCTTATCTCCTGTCTTCTGATCCTGTTTCAATCAGCAGAGCTCACTGAGGCTCTGCATTTAGCAACAGACTATATTACAACTCTGTAGCGTCACACAAAGTGATACGGTTGTTCTAGAAATCAGTGGATCTAAGAGTAACTTTGAACTTAATCAAGTCCTTGAGGGTGATTTCAAAAGACAATGACCTGTCACTACAGCAAGGTTCTTTTCTGCTTTGTTATGTTTTGTACACTGTTGTGTCACCTCTGTGAAAGTGAATGGAAATCAGACCCAGTGTGAGTACTTTCTGTTGAAGATTAAATGAGCTCCTGCTGGGGTAATGTAGGATGCAGTTCAGGCATATTTTTGTTATAAGCTCTTAAAAGTTGGGAGAATGGGACTACCAGAAGAAGCAGGAGGGCAGAATGCAACTGAGGTAAGATTGGAATACGGACATGTACCTTCCTACATATACTGCAAGAGGAGATGAGACTTGAAACATTATTAATACACCTTTTGCCAATAACTGGGGGGAGGTACCAGTGCTAGTTTACATGGCCAAGGTTTGCCAGATATTTTTTTATGTTTGAGACAATCTGCTCTGTAGCATATATTTGCCCATAAAAGTATCCTAGAATGATAGAATGTGTAGGGCTGGAAGGGACCTTTAAAAGCCATCTAGTCTACCCCCCTGCAGTGCACCCTGCAGTGGACCTTTGTTACTGGATCAGGTTGCTCAGAGCCTCGTCAAGTCTGATGTTGAACGTTACCAGGGATGGGGCCTCCACCACCTCTCTGGGCAACCTGTTCCAGTTCTTAAGTACTCCTCCCTTGTGAATTACTGTCCTGTTGGCCAACCCTTTAGTATGAACTCATGATCCTTCGTGCTTTCACTATCCTTATAAAACATGTGGTGTCTCTTTAATTGGGTCATGAGGGTGTCCAAGGGAGGAGCCTGGCGAAAGAAGGTAACAACTGAATGTCCTGGGTTGACTTTAGTACTGTTCAACCTTGAATAAGAGTGGGAAGGGTGAAAAGATGTAATTCTGTCAGATAGTTGGTAAGGACGCAAGCAGGCTTATCTGTTATTTTCATGTTCCTGACATTTTTAAATAGTTTTTTTGTTATGGTAGGTGGTGTGCTGTCTTACACTGTGGGAGCACGTTTGGTTGGTGAGTAGAAACTGAAAGAGAGAAGTCATCTAAGGGTATGGTAGATGTCGTCTTTTAAAATCATCTGTGCTATTGCAGGATGTTAGTGTCTTTAGCCTGTTGTTTGTCATCTCTCTTAAAGAACCATTCACAGAGTATTTTGTGTGAATGCATCCTAGTTTGTCCCACACAAATTTTGCTAGATGAGTTAATGCCAAAAAATAGAAAACCCTTAAGATAATTTGGCTGATTTAATTTTAAGTAAATTTGAGTAACTTCGCAAAAACTGGTCCATTGGTGATGACATTTGGTGCAGACATGATGGGCACAAATAGGTATGGACATATTTTACCAGCCCAACTAAACCTTAAAAAGAAGAGTAAAATACTTTTCCCTTTGAATATCTAATACCAAGAAATGCCACCTACTGAACAATATCAGCTGTCATTGAAGGACTTGTAACAAAATCTGGGACACCTGGATATGATGAAGTCATGGATGTGGAGAAAAGCATGGAGACACAAATAATGACTCATCAATCAGAATGCAAGTAAAGACAAAGTAGTGTCTTGTTTTTAATCCCTAGATTTTGAGCTGCCTGTGGACCTGACTCAGTTCTTAGGGCTATTAGTATCCAGCCCTTGTTGCAGCGCATGTGAGAATGTTGTGGCTTATTAAGAGGGATAGAGGAAAAATACTTCTTGCCCCACCTGTCCTTAACAAGAATCTTTTGCCTCATGGTCTCCTGTCCCCTGGGACAGATAGGGATAGCCATGGGGTAGATGCAATGGTTAGGGACTATGTGACTTTTGAGCTATTTTTCTTCTGGTTTTATTAAGTATAAAGTAGGTAGCATAGACAATCCAGTTATCTGTTTCACCATGGCTATGATAGTAAACATAACTCAACAGAGGCTCTGACAGGCTCTCATTCATGCTGTTTCCTTGTTAGCAGTTCCCAGACAGTGTGCTCTCTCCACTGTGCTCCCCAGCATGGTGTGGGAGGTGGCTGGACCCAGGGAGTGTCCCTGGGAAGCTATGGGTGAAGCTGCCTTGCTTTAGGAGGTTGGGTATCTCTTAGTGTGGGTTCGGCTGTTGTGCATGTCCTCCCAGAGAACAGGCCCTGCTATGTTTTATAGTGTTACTAACATTGGAATCCAGCATGCTCAAAAATGTCAGTAGGCCTTTTTCTCCAAGCTGCTTCTGTTGGTGTTAGATGTGAAACATACTGCATCACCTGCCTTGCTCTGTGGAAGTGGAGATGCCTCAACAGTTGGTGCCTGGTCTGAGATGCATTGTGGTCGATTCTGCACTTTTCATCCTGTCTTCTATTGAGTAGTTAGTGTGCTAATGTGAGTGGGAATTAGGACTCAAGCCATTTTTAAAAAATAGTACTAATGCATTAGCCCAAAATAACACTGCTCACACTGCTTTGTAGCCAGTTTATTAAAGCAGTGCTTTAGGATACTGTATTATACATAGTAGCAATAATTCTATGGCTAATACATTTGGGTAAACAGCTCAGTGACAGCTTTTTTTACCAAACAGAAAGTACATTTTAGTCCTGAATAGAATAGTCATAAATAGCCTCTGGTGAAACACATTTGAAATACATGTCAGACCTAATGGACCCATTTCTACTTTCTGTGATATAAGTCTAGTGAAAGGCAAGTGGAATTTAGCCTATGTTTTAAAAGCCAATAGCTGCAAGTGAAAAACTTATTAATGTCTAAAAAGCCAAGATCCTCCTTGCTGAATGTTACTGGAAGTTGTGCAGTTAACACCTGTTAAAAAGTTACTCTTATTTAAGCTGTTGTCTTCAGTTAAAGAAGGTCTGGATTCAGTTTTCTTGTGTTCCACAGACTTCCTTGGCCAATCACTGTTGAACTTTAGGGGGATTTAGGCCAATAAAAGAGCATTAGTTTTAGAGGATGAGTATTCAATTCTCTACGAAAATACACCCTTATTTAATTAATTAATTTAATACTAACTCAATTGGGCAGCTAAAATATTTGCAATATCAAGGTGTATATGTTATTTTTGCTGTTAAAAGCCTAATTGATAATGAAAATACCTATTCTTAAGCCAGTTGAAATTTCAGGATGTAGGAGAACTGGAACATACAGATCTCAAAAGAAGATGTTTTTATGTTTTGGAAATAATTTTCTTCTAGTGTGGAAATCTTATTTTTTCTTCACTATTGTAGGGTGAAGACAAGTTTGTCATACCTGCAGTTATACACTGAAACTGACAAATGAGGAATGAGTTTGCAGGCAATTAAAGTATGTGGAGAATGGCTTTGAAGCACTTCCTAGACCAATCTGACAGCTTTATCAGCCTTCTTTTTTTAATAAGCACTTACATCTACAGATGCTATTAAAATTATGAATCATAATGGTTCTTTTGCATTGTATTAGCTGAAACTTGATCAAGCTTTGGTAGATAAAATGAAGTGCAGCTGAGTGCTAGAAGGCTGTTAATGCTAAAATTAGTATTTTTAAATTTTATTTTTCCATGAGGTTTGCGAGCAATGGGCAAATAAAAGGAGTATAACAAAGACCTTTGCATCTTTGAGCTTCAGGTTTTCCCCACATTAACTGATATGGAGAGGACAAAGTTAAAATAAACTACATTAGAAACAATGTAGGGAAGCAAAATTTCACGGGAAATTGTATGGTTTTATATCTGCCACTTCATTTTAAACGACTCTGTGAGGTTCAGTGGCTGCATGTGAGTGTGCCAGTGGCCAGAAGGTAGTGAGAGGAGCCAGAAAATAGCTTCATGAACAACTATTTCTCCCTCCTACAGAGACTAAATTTGATATCATATGGCATCTAGTTCTTAGGAACAGAAAGGTTAGCTGTGCTGTTTCAAAGCTTAGTCTATCTTGCTATGCTGTCTGATTGTTGCTGCAGCACTTACTTACCTTACTGATAAGTAGAGCAGTATGGCCATGAACTGACTTTGCTATTGTTGCTGGGGCACTGACCATGAAAAGGGCTACAAATAAAGAGCTCCCATTTCATCCCAGGGGCTGCTGTAGGGGTGATAGGATTCTTAACAAGCCCTGATCTCTGGAGATTGTCAGACCTCACAGAAGAGGACAGTGCAGCCCAACTGGCAGGCACCCTTTCAAACTTGTGATTTTGGCTGCTTTTGTACATGCTCTTATGCAGAACAGAAATGCAGGTTCACAGATAAATTTAAAGGCTCTCCTAAAAGGCTGCAGATTCTGACAGTAGCTTATCAGGGCTGTTTCCCATCCCGTATCTTTCTAGATATTTTGTTAAAAACTGGAACACTTTGTTTTCTCCTGAAGCATTGTATTGACATAACCAAAGAGCTTGTCAGGAAAGATTGCTTCTCAGGTAAGACACACTGAAGTTTCCTAGATGTTGACTGGTTCCATTTTAGTTGGAATTGGATAAATATAAATAAATTCCACATCTGTTTTGGCTATGGCCTTGGAGCTAGCAGGGCTGGCAGTTGCACTCCAGGATGAAATGTGTATCTACTGCAGCTGGAAGAAGGAAGTATAGAATTACAGGATACTTAGGAATGTTGCATCTGGTTCCTCATGCCCAAAAGCTGACAGATTAATCCTGTTTTCAGTAACTATTTACTCTTTCTGTACTATTCCAAGTGAGGTGTGCACATACGTGCATGTGCATTCAGCAACACCAGGATGAAGTGATGGAAAATACTAGATGTACAAAATCCACTGACTGTCTCCAAGAAAAACCTTGGCTTCATACACATGCTACTTTTTCTATCTAGTTATCTAATCCTTTAATTTCACTTTCAAAGTGATTAACCCTCAAATAACAATAAATCATTATTGGCAGCCAGGCTAGAAAGCTAGAGAGTATAATGGTAAGTTCTGCACTTTTTTTTTGTTTTACTTTTTTTCCCCCCCTCTTTATTTTCAGGAATTTACTCTAGTTGTCACCCATAAAATGGTTGAAAATCAAGCTGATATCGTGAGGGAGAAAAGTGAAAGTAGCACAGAGTTCCTGGGTGGGCAAAATCATTGGTCCTAATGCAGGTGTAGGAAGGGAAAATTCTAACCTGCTGGCTGGTCAGAAGCCAAATGTCTAAACTGTCAGATTGCAGTCCTTCCCTTTGTAGAAGAGATATTGCAGAAATACTGTTTGTTGTGTGAATTGGCGTAGGATGCTGGAATATGTGAGCACTACATATGTAACTGCAGTAATTTATGTATGTCCATTTTAATAATTAGCACTGAGGTTCACAGATGTAAAGCACTGTTCTGAAGAGCCTGTACCCAATGGAGATTTTTTTATTATTATTTGCCTGGAGTACCTGTCATGTGCCCAGCATTACTCTTTCAGGGAGTCACTGTTTCTGGTGAAAGCACATTTAGATGAAGACAATGAAGACTTCTGAGCTTCCCAAGGGCCACTTCCTTCTGAATTATAACTTATCTTCTCATGCCTTCTACATTAATATGTTATGTTCTATCTCTGTAGTGCTCCATGGATCTGCTTAACAATCAAGACAAATCTAGCACTTGGCCATGAGTCTGAGCAAAGCTACTTAAGGCCTCCCTGGCCTTCACCTCCCACTTATCTGGTGGACTTCGTGGAGAGTTGGCAGGGAACCTGTTGATTTCCTGGTTTCAGCATAGCTCTGCCTCAGCCCTGCAGCTCATCTGTATATAGAGACACAATGGAGATGGCTTCTTTTTATCTGGAGGTCACCTGAGTGGTGAAAAACTAGAAAGTCCTAGTGGTGGTGTTTATCCCCATACAGTTATTCCTTTTTCCTTTCGTGGAACAAGGTTGTTATAATAGTGTTTGTGGTTTGTTGTGGTGTTTTTTTTTTGTTTGTTTGTTTTTTCAAATGGAATTGAGAATACAGAAATAAATTGCAGAGAACCAGGGTGTCGCCTTTCAGAATAAATATTTAATGTGAATAAGGGCTGTACTCATTCAGAGTCACAAGGACTGTTACTGAAGTACCATATGTATGTTCATTTTAATGTATAAAATATACGCTTGGACTTAAAAATGCAGAGTGAACAGCATCAAAGGGAAGTGTGCATGAAGTCTGTGTCAGCTGTCCTTACGGGTGATAATAATGTAAAAGTTTATTTTTGTTTCTAACCATTTTAATTTGCCCACCAATCAGACAGAAAACAGGAATCTTGAAGTACTTACTCTCCAAAACAAATACTGGAGAAGTGTGTCCTTTCATGTTGTATCCTGACTGTGTTCACTCCAGCCAATCTTCAAATTACATCAGCTTTTTTAACTTCTTAGCCCAGGTTAAAAAAAAATCTGAATAATTATTTTCCTTGTGTTGGAACAACATACAGAATTTGCAGAAAACATGTCTGTTATTGTTTGCAGTCATGCTAGTCAATGTGAATTAATTGGTGACTGTTACAAGTTACTTGCAACTTACAGGTTATTTTCAAGTTAAAATGGAGACAAAGGGCATGATCTCAGAGTTTGCAGCTTATATTTCCAAGGACATGAGATGGGATTGGGCTTTGTAGAGCATTCTAGAACAATTACTTTTTCCTTTAGGCAACATGAGAGAGAGAGAGAATAAATCCTGCTCTCATTTTCCTTACCTCTCAGAACTCTTAAATACTAGTCAATCTGTCACAGCACCTGGGATGTCCCATGCCTTTGTGACTTGTCAAACTGTGGGGTTGCTTCCTTGCTAGCTTGCTTTGAGCTCGTTCTATTCCTCCATCTCTTCAACAGCCCATGCTTTTCATAAGCCTCTGCCAATTATCTCTGAACTGTTGTTCACCTGTTTTGAGGGTTTCCTTCTTGCCTGAAGGAAAAATAATTTTAAATAGTTTCTCTGTTCAAACTTCTATTTGGAATACCTATTAATTGTCCAAAGCACAGTCATTGAGGCTATAATATCTAATGGTTGCTTTGTAAATGTCCTCAGTCTGGAGAGAGACACATAATTGGAGCCTCTGAAGCTTATGACTAATTCACTTAGCATTGTTGCATTCAGTGGTTTATCCAGTCCATAACATGAAGGTATAAATAGACTCTCAAACCATTGCATAACAGTAGAACTGACAGCAATTTAGAAGAGGGGATGCTGGCAGTTTCCCAGTACAGCAGCTAATGCATTTGGTGAACTTGGATGATCTTTGTCTGCCTATTTTATTTTTATTTTTTTTTCCTTTCTGAATTGGAAATGGTAGTTTTTGCCTAGCTAACATTCATGGTGGAAAAACTTGGTATATGTAAAACGCTTTCCTATTTACAGGAAGAATGCTTAGGAGACAGAAATGTATTTACATTGTTAACAAGAAAAGTCTTGGTTATTTTACGTTAAAGGAGATCTTAGTGTGTTTAAATTAAAACAAAGGGCGCAGACATATTACGTTAAAAGAGTAGTCACAGACTTAGTTCACAGCAGACTGTTAAGGATGAAAGTTATAATTATTTCTGTGTCTAGGTCTCCCATCATATGCTTCTGTTTTGATAAGAACTGTAATACAATCTGTTCTCTTTCATTCTTTGGTTTATGCAGGCACAGGCTTGCTACAGGAAGTGGTGTATCTAGTGAGTCAGGGAGCTGATCCAGATGAGATTGGGCTAATGAATATAGATGAACAACTTCCAGTCCTAGAGTACCCTCAACCTGGTCTGGACATCATCAAGGTACAAATTATTGCAAAGAAAATCTTTCAGCATTTGGATGTCTTTTTCCTCAGTTCCATATTTGTAATTTCATTTCTTCCCGTGTCCTTGTCCTTTTCATCACTGGACTTGCTCAGCTTGTTGGAATGATTCAAAGTATGATTATGTTATTTCAAAATGGCTTTTATTAAGTTTTATTATACTCTAATACTTTAGGAGATATTTCTTCCTGTCCTTAATATCGTTGCAGTGGGTTTTCCTGAGTAAAAGTTCCAGGTTTCCCTTGCTTATTTAAACAAAATGCTGCTCAAATGAGACAAATCAGCTTTGATCCCTTCCCTGAATTTGCAAAAGAGGAACAGAGATCTGTGGATCTGTAGACCTTGTACTCTGAATTTACACATCTAAATCCTTAGAGTCCCAGGATCTGTGGATCTACAGACTCTCTGAGGAGTTTGCATTATTCTGCATGAAATTACTTCAAATATAGGCATATCTTGGAATTATTAGGCAAAATACTGGGCTTCTTCCTAGAATAGCTGTGGTGCTTGCTGGATTGAGCTGGCTAAGGATGGCACAGATAGATTTAAGCTGCTTCTGGACACTAACAACTGCAAAATCAGCCTACTACAGGCTGAGAGTATTTAGGAGTCAAGTCACTTGTTTTTCTCATCTGTGTGATGCCTAGTCCAATGAGACCTCAGTGTCACCTTGATGCAAATCAGTGGTGGAACTAATGAGAGGCTTAGTTTGAGAATACACACTGTTCTTTATACTATATACTGGCAACTTGGATAATAGCAATATGGGTTTACACAAACTACTGGAAGATTATTTGTGTCATAAGATGATTTTCTGTCAAATTATAGTACTCTGTTTGATAGATGTTCACACTCAGATAAATCTTTGGATTGTCTTGGCCTAATTCTGAGGATAAAATAAGTTGCAAAAATAAAATTTGGAAGTGAAGAAGTTAGGGGTAGGGTTTTCAGAGCTAATATTTTCCAAGGAATTTTACTCAGAGCATCACTGGGAACTAAGAACCTGTGACTACTACACTTTCTTCTTGAGAAGGTCCTGCAAATGGAAGCATTTTGAAAACATAAGAAGAGGAAAAAAACCAACCAACCAAAATAACCCAACATATTTTCCAGCCCTTTGATATTTAAAAACAAATACAACTCCCTGACCTAATTTCTAGTCCTAGGCATCTATAAATTTAAGAAGTGCATTTGTGAATGAGACTCAGTACAGTGAAGGACTTCCAAGTATGACAGTTTGTGACAGTTAAGGATGTGCCAAAAATCAATGGACAATAAGAAACGTTTCTGTTGGCTTTGTTTTAGGAACTGACGTCTCCTCGCCTTATAAAAAGCCACCTACCATATCGGTTTTTGCCTTCAGACCTCCACAATGGCAATTCAAAGGTAAAAATAGAATGAAATCATGTTTGTTTCAGTATATTTGCAGCAGTTGTTGAAGTGTTTTGGGAAATGGGGGGAAAGCTTTCAGTAAGATGATTTTTTTTTTCCTTTCCCCTCATAGGTAATTTACATGGCTCGCAACCCCAAAGACTTGGTGGTATCTTACTACCAGTTTCACCGCTCTCTACGGACCATGAGCTACAGGGGAACGTTTCAGGAGTTCTGCAGAAGGTTTATGAATGACAAGTGTAAGGAGCTGTTCTCTCTGCACATGCTGTTACACATTTATTTTCATCTCTGCATTCCTTCTGCAAGTTCAGAAATGAACTGGATAAAGGTGCATTTGCTTTGCATATACAGTGAGGAGGTTGCTACAGATACATGGACTGCGTGGACTTAGATTTGTCCATGCAAACTATGGCCATGCCTTGTAAATAGTTGCCTTGCAATATTTGACTCCATGGGCTCAGCAGTGTCCCATTGAGCTCAGGCAAAACTCTGGTCTACTATATTAGAATTCAGTTTGCAAGGTACCAGGTACCTCATGAAAAGTGGTGAATGTTCCCAGCACCATTTGATTTCAGCTCTAGCTCACTGCTTAGCTACTTCTCAGGAGTCTTTCTGTTCCTCACAGGTTTTTCCCCTTAGCTACTTCTCAGGAGTCTTTCTGTTCCTCACAGGCTTTTCCCTGGTAATACCTTTAATATTTCTATTTAATAAAAAAACCTCAAGTTTTGTCTCCAGCAAGATACCAGTTAATGCTCAAAATTCTCTGGTTTGCGTGAGATTGGTCTGGTGTACATCAATAGGTTCAAGTGAGCCCCTCTAAGAAAGCAGTTGCAGGCTCCTACTGTCTGAAAAATACACCACTATGATGAAAATACAATAAACTGCTGTACAACAACTCACTGCTGCTCACCTGGTAACTCCTTTGAGCAAGTGTGTCTCCATGAAACACACAGAACGTTCCTGCTCGGGCTGCGCTGCCTTGAGTAGCTCCATTGCACTAACCCAGTAAACGTGCAAGGAGGAAAGGCCCTGTGTTCTCACATAACTGGCTTCCACTGGGCTTTTTTGCCAGTGGATTCCCACACTTTTCTAGCTAGGAAGAGAAAATTTTTTACTGCCTTCTGTTTCTCTACAAAATCTTCTCTATGATAGTTAGAAGTGTCACAAGGAATTCAGCAGGTACCTTGTGCTCTGAGAGCTGGATCTTCACTAGAGCCAATGCAGCAAACTCTCCTTCAACCTGGAATTTGGAGGATTTGATGCTAAAGTTGCTGTTATAATACTGAAGGGAAGAATAAAGTAAAAGCCTACCAGTGAAGATTATTGAATAGGCCTTATAAACCCTTGCTACTTTCTCCTGCAAGTTTGAGCAGGAAGGGTAAATATTCTCCTTCCATTCCAGCCCAGCTTCAGCTTTTCCTTTTACATTCACTGAGAATGGCATATTTGTCTGTAGCCCATGATCAAGAGCTTCTAAGTTGGAGACATATGAAAGACACATTAGAAAGCCTTCTAAGATAAGAGGATCGTTTTGTACTCTTTTTAATATAAGAATCCCAAGAGATACTTATATCTTCATCATATAGCAGCTAACTCATTGATAGGTGTGGTAACAGCCTCCCAGAGTCAGTAAAACCTTACAGCATGTTCTGTGTCCATAATTGTGCAAATGGAGAGTTTCATAATAACCTAAATGTATAATTTAAGTAAATGTTTGCATCACATGGAAGAAATGCAGCAAAAAAATCTTCATAAAATGGTAAAGTAGTGCTAGAGGGAGAAGCACTGAGCCCAAATGACACAGTCCCACTCTTTTACCCTACCCTATACCTGGCTGTCTTGAAAGAAATTCAGTGCATATCAGCTAAATTGTTTGAGAGCATACAGTTGGGTAGGAATTAGTCTTGAATGTGCTAATTCTTTGGCATTATCCTCTAGAGTTTGAGGGAGTTTCTTACATAAAATACTTGTAAACTTACCTAACATAACCTTAATGAATTTTTGCCCTGTAACATTAAGAGCAGCTAGGAACACTTTTTGCTTGACTGGTGTGTTAGTTTCATGTGTGAATTTTTTTAGGGCTGTATAATTGGAATAACAAAACTGTTTTTTTTCCAATACCTTAATAAAAATTGAAAATTAGTCAGATGATTAAAATGATTTTCCTATGGAATTGACCTCTTTTTCCATTGAAAATGTTCCAGTTACCAAAATGAAGCAATTCTTTTTGAAGGGGAAAAGGTGGCTTCAAAATACAAAATGAAGAAGCTTAATATTTTTCTGTAGTTGCTTTACTGAAAAGATTAAATTGACAAAAAAGTATTGCGAAAGAATATAAAAAACTCTTCACCATATTTGCTTAACTTCTGCCTTAATTATCTGAAGTACTCTGTGGAAACTTAAGCACTGGTAAGAAAAAAAAATGCAGAATGCATTTCTCTGTAGGTTGCCTTTCTGGCAATATTGGCAGCAAAAGACATCCTCTAGATAATAAATGCCAGTGTCTGAAGCTCTTCTAGACACACATAAATTGTTTGAAATCAGTGCTAATGTGGACTTTTATCAAAGAAGTGACAAACAAAAGAGGAAAGTTTTGAGTGAGGGTTAAGGCTTCCAGCAAGCACTGCTGCAGCAGTGCTGGGACCTCATGTCGTCCCAGCTTGGCATCCCAGCATCTCTTCAAGTCCTAAAACCCCCCACAGCAACTATGGAGAACTGAAGCTTGTGCTGCTGGTGGTGTGCAGGAGATAGGAGGTGTAAGCTTTTCATCATTGGCAACCCTGCAAGCTGGGCCTGCTTGCAACTTGTGATGGACAGGGAGTTCCCCATGATATCACTCTTAAGCTTTCAGGAGCACTCAACAACCCATGGGCATTTGGTGGTAGTCTGGATTTGTTGTGTATCTGAGATAACTGATAACAGTATAGCTGAAACTACGTTCTGGTGCATCTACAGAAATTGCATCAGAGTGTTCAGAAAATAACAATAGAAGAGAATAGGTCTTAGACTTGAGCTGGGGGTGGGAACACACAAAAGATGTAATGATAAAGAAAATATTCTGTCAGTACATCCTAAGTTTTTGGGAATGACTGTGAAGCATTTTTATAAGTCTTTTTTTTTTCAGTATTTGTTTAAGAAAGAACAAGGGTTGTTAGCAATTCTCATCCATAATAGAGGATGCAATACGGAACTTTCCACTAAAGCTGTATTTAGCTAAGAAGTGAAGGAAGCTTCAGTGTGATGTTAATTGCAGGAATTCACACAGGTTAGAGCCACAGAAAATTTGTCCTCTGCAAAGCTATCTTTGTGAATTTTTTTTGGCTCAATTTCCATTCAATAGGCAACTGTTACAAATACTGGGTGCAAAGAGGTCCATCATGAACTATGGTGGCATTTTCCATTGAACATTTTGTCTTTATGGTAAGTTAGTTCTTTTGAGTGTTCCAGACTGATAGAAAAGCTGGTTTGTTTTTTTAATTTTGTTTTAAATTCCTTGCTGTGCATGGCAATGGGTGAAAACCAGACATGGTTCTCCTGGGTCTGTGACCCACTCCAGTTAACTTATTTTTCTTGGGGTTTTTTTTGGTGTGGTTTTTTTTTTTTTTTAAGAGGGATTAATAAGAAAAGTGCTAACTTTTCTCATGCCAATTGTAATGTCTTTGTAGTAGGATATGGTTCCTGGTTTGAACATGTGCAAGAGTTTTGGGAACATCACATGGATGCCAATGTACTTTTTCTCAAGTATGAAGATATGCATAAGGTAAGTTAGATGTAGCAAAAAGGTATTTTACATTTAGCATAATAATGTTTAAAATACATGAAGTACAAACATTGCTTTTCATGTCCAGAGTTGGGCTCCTTAATGCCATTTTTAAACCAGTGGCATTCACTGTCTTCCATGGACATCAGCAGTTTCATAAACTTAGTACTTTATGCAGGAATCTGCTTGCATCCTTAAGCAGTAAAATACTCAGAGAGAAGGCAGAGACGTGTAAATAAATGGTCAGTGCTTGCTGCACTTAGTCCTGGGCATTCATTTAAAAGAAATGTCTTACTGTGTATGCTGGATCAATGAGAAAGAAGTGTATTGTCAGTGTTTTATCCCATATATTTGGCATTTATTCTGATGATTTGTTTGTTCTTACTGTCTTCTGTGAAACCATGTTGAAAACAATTAGTGATGATTGTGTAGCACAAGGTGAACACAATCATTGGGTCCTTACAGTACACTGGCTAATAAATCCACTTTCTTTTTTATCATAAATTTAGTGGAAGTACTACATAGAATATTGTTTCCCATTTCCTATTGCAGTAATATATTTTTGAGAATTAGTGAAAACACTTCAAAATATCTAGTTGACTGGAAAATTAATGCAAATGTAGGAAGAACCTAGCTCCTATTTTTAAACCTACAAAAAAGCAAAATCAGGGTGGAACTCAGTATAGCTTAGTAAATTATAATGTCACCTTTACTGATCCTTCTGATGGAGTGGGGTGCTAAAAGAAGATGTAATACGGTCCAAATAATTTTTAAACTTTAGTAAAAATTATTTCAAACCCACGATTTTGAGTCCTGATATATTCCTAACTGTGCTCACTGATGGATGCTGCTGAAAATTGGTGGCATCACTGTATCTTTCTGCTCCCTGATAAATATCACTATTTTATCCTTGCAGCTCCAGAAGTTTTACTCATACTGAGGAACTCTGGAGTTCTTGATATAGAAAGTAATGACTATTCTTAGAGGCCACTTCACTAGATCTTTTCCATCTATGTAAATGTAGTCCCAGAATCTAACAGTGCAGGAAGGGCTGTTCTAACATTTGTAGTAGTTTCTTTTGCCAAGATCAAAATCTAAGTAACAAATTCCTCCAAAACACACTAGTATTCCAAAGTGGTCACTTAAGGGTGTGGTAGTGTTTGAAGTGGGAAGCATCACACTTTACAGATATCCATTCTAATATTTGAAGAGGCAAGCTTATATGAGTGTGTTCTCTGCCAACCTGTCTTACCCTCATTACTTGGAATGTGTTTATTTTCATCAAATTGGAAGGTGACATAATTTTAAAAGACAGTGGTGTTTCTGTAACTTCTGCACTTGTAATTTTCACTCTTGTCGATGCAACTAATTTTGAAATATTCCGACTAATTTTAAAAGGTCATTTAAAAGAAACTCTTTTTAAATACTCTCTTGCAGGACCTGGCAACAATGGTTGAGCAACTGGTGAGGTTCTTAGGAGTTTCTTACGACAAAGCACAGTTGGAATCCATGGTGGAACACTGCCATCAACTCATTGATCAGTGCTGTAATGCAGAAGCACTTCCTGTTGGCAGGGGTATGTTTAAAACCCACAGTAAAACTCTTATGGAAATGGCAAGAAGCAGTTGATGACTTAGTAACCTCCAGGGCATGTTAAGATGTTGGCAAAGTATTGCCGTGTAAATGATGGGAGGTAACTGACTCTTGGTGCAATTTGGGGGTTCCTTTGTTTTGAAATCAAGTTAGGTAGAAGTGACTAAAAAGGATGGGAATGTCCAAGATCCACAATGTATATTGAACCCCATGCAAACCACATTTTTAGCTGACTCCAATAGACTGAGCTATGAATGCTGAGAATACACTGCTCCTTCTGACCTTTGCCTTGTCAAAGCCCACAATTTCATAGAGTTTATCCTGACCTAAGCCCCCATTTTTTTGTTTTGTTTTGTTAAGTATATCAGATTTCCTAGAATAGCAGATAATTCTAATTTGAAGGCATGAAATGACAAGGACTTGTAGCTTTCCTTATGAGCTTTTTCTTTTCATTGCCCACCTCAGCTGCTGAAAATGTGTTTGGCTTCTAGATCTTTATTCTGGTGACACGTGAAGTGCCCTTTGATCTGTTGCTACATCTGTCCTTTGACAATGTCAACAATTCAAGTCCTTTCTCAGTCGTCTTTTTGATAAGCATAATAGAGTGAACTCAGTAAGTCTCCCTCAAATTATTTTCTGTAGGCTACTTTACAGCACTTTATGTCTCTTTTTAAGAACAATCAAGATGGACAATTCCTATGTCACCCTCACAAATACCTTATTCAGACATAAAATCATTTTATCCACTAATTTAATCCTGTTTGAATTGGAACTTTCCCTCTCCCTTGTTTGTTCATCCATAGTCATGTTAGCACTTTTTGATACAGCATCACACATAAAAGCATGTGTTTATTATAACCACAAAGTTGTTTCAGAGTAATTGATTTAGAGGGCATTGTCCCATACTCAGGAATCATGAACTGAATACTTTGTTCTTAGGTTTGTGTGAAGGAGCCCTTTCCATACTACCTCTCTCAGCCAAACTGCATATGATCTGCTGGTTCTACCAGCTGTAATTTTTATAATTATTTTCAAATCTCTTGTCAGTCCTGGCCTATTAATTCTGACTTAGCCAGTTTGTTCATTTATCATTAATTTTGTTGACTTTCAATAGTTCTATTAAAAAATACTAAAATCCCATGCCTTACAAAAATCTGTTGTATCTTTGCATTGACCTTTAATCAGTCTTAACTAATCTTGCCAAACTTCAGCCAGGTTTGTTTGAGAGCTAGTTTTCATTCCCATGAAAGCAGGTTCACTAGTATTCTGTACTACCTTTGTGTGTGTCCTGGCAGAGCCTTATGCCAGGTTTCCATTACCCAGCTCAGACTATCGTCAGAGTAATTGACCCAGGATAAACATCTCCTGTTTGTATGTTGGTACAAACATTTCATGGTGTCATACTTGGAAAAAAAGCCATTGCTCACATTGCTTTTATCTGTGACTTTGTACACATGGTATAGAAAGGCTGTTGGTTCATTCTGTAGGGGCTATGCACTCCAGTTATTACAGTAGGACCTGGAAACTAGATTCCTGTGGCCAGTTCTCTGTCAAAACTGTGATATGGCACCACATTTTGCCCCAATTCACTAATGGTAATTATGAGTTCTTGAAATAAATATCAAGTTTGCTAGATTGAGGTAAAATTCCAGTGAAGACAAAGGAGTTTCCCTATAGTTTCTGGTAGAGTCTCCGCTGAATGGTGTATTTTCCTGCTTTCAGTTGTCGTTTTCAATTCCCGTCCTACCCTCCCCTTACTACTTCCAACTGAAAATTCATCACCAACACACAGCTTGTATCTTACATGCAAACAACAGCCCATCTCATTGGCAGTAGGATTTTCCAGCATGTTGCCTAACTGATTACCAACCCACTTCTCTGCTATGAAGACAAAATCATAAAATAATGAGTCTGGTAAGACATCCTGAGGGCCTTGGATGACGTGTTCTTTGTCAGTGCAAGGTTTTATAAACAACAGAGCTGTGGTCTTCTCTGTTGACTTGCATGTAACACAAAAATCAAGTTTTGTTCTCAGTGTCCATGGCTGGGTGACATCTGCTGCTCCACAGCAGCAGCAGTGCTGTATCCATGCACAGCCACATCTCCCCTCCTTCTCCAGGGAAAGCCGGAGAGGTGAGGTGGTAAAATAGGAGAACAGAGAGCACAGCTGCTGGTTGGACCTTCCACAGGTGGGAAGGCCAACTATTGTCTCCACTGGCCAGTTCATCTCCATCCAGATCAACAGGGTGATGCCCACTTTGGCTGCATGGTGCTCAGTGTTCATTGTTCTGTAGTGGAGCTTGTAAACCCCCAGGCAAGGGGTAGAGCCTCCTCTTTTTACTGTCTTCCAAATCTTTCAAAAAGAAGCCTTAATTTTGTAATAGAGAAGAAAGGGAGCTACAGTAGTTAATGTATTCTTTTGTCATGTGTTCACTGTGTGCTTTTTATTAAAAATGTCCTCATTTTGAATGTATTTTGTTTGCTGTCTCTGGCTCTTACAATATTGTTTTACTTCAGAATGCAGCTTCATTAACAGTGCTTTGTTCCTTCTCTGTTTCTGTGACAAAGAATGGTGGCAATAATGTGACCGTTTACTATAATTTGTTTTAAATATTTTTTAATTTGTCATTAGTTACATTTACTTTATTATTTTGCTTTATTTTAGTTCTTCATTTTTTTTCTTTTAGCACATTGATCTTTACTCTGAAGATAACCCTGAGCTGCTGTGAAAGCAGAACAATGATTAGATATGTTACTTATATTTGACTCTTATCACATCATAATTTACACAGTTGCATGATTCAAATCATAAACCAGGTGGGTGACTTTTTGACAAGCTATCAATTCATATGGTAAAAAAAAGTAATAAAGTGTTACAAATAAACCACTGCATATGTCGTTGATAAAACTTGTCATTTGTCCATACATATTTTTTAGGGAGATTCAGAAATAAAAGGCTTATATTTCCCAAGCAGAGGAAAAAAATGTTTTATTATCATTATTGAAAGGGAAATACAGTTTATGCAATTTTAGTTGCTAGAACAAAATTGAGATCAGTATCCAGTATTTGTGATTGCAAGCATTTCCTTAATGTTTTTTTTTGATACAGGAGAAATTTGATTAAAAAAATAAATCATGCATTTTCACTCACTTCCATGTTCTTTTGATCTTTGGATCCTGAAAAAAAACAACGAAACACTGTTGTACCTTCAGGAGTTTTAGGAAAATCCTGATTTGATAAAACAGTCCTTGCCACACATACCATCATGTTAGCATTTAATTTGTAGATGTTTCAGACAGATTTGTCTTTGGACTCAATTGGAGAGTTGCTGCATAAAAGCCATGGTAATTAAATTAAATGGGTATTCTTCTTATGCATCAAATGCATAATTAAGCTCCCTGCATGTAGTTTTGTTCTTGCCGTTATGATTAAACTCTCTGGTAGCAAAGTCCCAATTCTCCCTTCATTTATTCCAGTTGAACAAGCCTGGATTTTGTCTTTATTTATATCCAATGTAAATGAGAAGAGAATTGGGCCTCTCAGTCTGGTTACTCCATGGGGCTTATTCACCAACATGTATCCCTGACTGACTTTGAGTTAAGTAAATTTTGGACTGCAGTGAAACAATGATTAAGGACTGGTGGGTTCATCAGTGTCATCAGGAGATGCTGGTTGGGTTCAGCAGAGTAGAAGAATACTACATACAAGGAAAAAGTGTTTGGTGTCTATATTGCATCCACCAAAAGCTTCCTATTCCTCATGTAATAAATTAAAATTTAAATGGCACAAACCAGATGCATGGCACTTAATTTATCTTCCATATCTATATATAATCTAGGCACTCATTTAGTAAATAATTCTCTCCATATTGAGAAATGTAAATTAATCTGTTGAATTTCTAGTTAAATATCAAATAATAGTCATGGTAATACAACATGTCAATAATCAGTTTTATACTCTGTATTCCATGTACCTTTTTGGATAGTTCTCTAACCAGTGTATGCTGAAGGCATGGAGATTTTGAATGGTGTTATTGTTAGCTGTTTGGAATTATTAAACAGCCATAGTTTGCACTGAAACCAGAAATGCACTTTTAAGGGAATACCCAAACCAAAATGTGTGTTCATTTCTGACTAAAGCTAGAACAAAATCTCACAAAAATCTGAATTCTTCCTGTATAATAATACTCTGCTGGTAGAGACGACAAGGTGTATGGTACTTTTTTTTTAAGGCTTAGCAGGGGAATTGGGTAGACAAGGAACAGCCTTAGGTCTCATAGAACTTTCAAGGAGATGAACATCTCACAGATGACATTTAGTGCCCTGCACCAGTACACTGTAGGTATTTGGTGTCCTGTTATGTCTGTGCTCTGACTGGTGTTTCTTCTCTTTATTTCAGGACGAGTTGGGCTATGGAAAGACATCTTCACTGTTTCAATGAATGAGAAATTTGATTTAGTTTATAAACAGAAGATGGGAAAATGCGACCTCACATTTGATTTTTATTTATAAAAAATGCATGCATATGATATCCAAATAAGCTAGAAGTGCTTTATGCATTCATTTATTACCTGCTGGACAAACTACTGTAGCTATTATGTGTAACAAGAGTTAAAGAAAGAAAAACAATCTTAAGTAAATCGTATCAGATACAATTATCTTTGATCCTAAACAGCTGTTTATCTTCTAGTATTTAGTCTTTTGTCCACATGCAAGAACTCCCTAGACAATACTAGAATATTCAGCTGTTATGGAATGTATTATATACGTATAAGGTATGTATCATATATGCAACTAGAATGTACACCTTTTCAGCCCCACATGGATTATTTAATGTGTTTTATAAAAGCTTTTCACTAGAATCTAAATAAATGTCCATAAACCAAAAAAAATTATTTCAGAGGGAAACAAGTAACAGGCCAAAACTGTATGCTAGAATGATCTCAGGGGTTAATCGTCACATTTATTTTTATAGCAGGTATATCAAGTATAAATAAATCCCATTCCAAAATAGTCACTGATCAAAGTGGGGTTCACATTAGGTTCTGCACACCCTCACCTGTATAATGTGAGTGGGTTCTGTGCACTGGCACACTCTGTGAGACAAGCCTTGTTATGGAATGCAGTTGTGGTTGTCACTCTAATCCCAAAACCCACCCAGGCTTTCATGGATGACAGTACACAGCTGTCTTCCTGACAGATTAAGTTCAGCTCCATGCTGAAGGTCAGCAAACAGAAGCTTTTTAAGCCCCCAACTCTAATTCAGTCCCTCAAAATGGGGCTTAAAAGCAAGGCATCAGCTACAGGGTCCTTCTTAAAGAATCAGTCTCTGACCCGTATCACTTTTCTATGTAGATGTGAATTTCACCCATTAGATTTGGTAAGAGACAAAAAGGTGCCGGATATCCTCTAGTTGCACTAAAAGTTAAGGGCACTCAGCACTGTTTATCGTTTGTGCTACTGGAACTCTTACTAGACCTAAGTGGAAGATGAACATCGATGCCAGTGTAAGCAGGCAGAGGAAACTGCAGCGCTGAAGGAAGAGAGTTTAAAACTATGCCACCAGGTGGGAGTATTACACAAATATTCACGCAGAATACAGTTTCAGTAATTGTTAGCCATGCCTGGTCTGGATTGTAATCGGGTTTCAAGTTTATTTCTGTATCTTTTTTTATTCCCTATGACAGGCACACAAATGGCCTGAAGCAGGCTACTGTCACTGAAAAACTCTCCTGAGTTATTTTATTGTTCCATTAGGTAGTGACATCTATGCTTTTTAGGCTCTCAACTGCAGGAGTCCCATTTTTGCTAGTCAAATATTCAGGCTCACCAAAAGCTGTGAGGAAGGACTAGCAGATTTTTAGTGTTTCAGTTCTGTTGGGAAACTAACTGTCAGTTGAGCAACTGGCAAGTGGTGTAGCATGATGTGGCTTGACAGCACTTTTCCTTGTATATTTGTGAGTGAAAATGCTTTGAGTGAAATTTTATTTCTATTTTTATATTTTTAGTACTGTATAAATATTAAGCACTACACATTATACTTCTGTGCTTGCTTGCTTATTGAATAAAAGATGTGTTCCATGCATTGTGGTTTTCTCATTTTCTAGACCTCCTACTCAGGTCTGGTAGTCTTTGTACAAGTCACAGATACTCTCTTTACCCACACCTCCCCACTTAAGAACCACAGATGGTACCAACTCAAATGACATTCTGACCCCATGAGCAGTCTCTGATAGCAGCCCGAAGGAAATGCCTGTGTGAGAGCACAGGAGAGCATCCCCTGGCAATGAATTCTTCAGCTAAATACATGTCGTATGAAAAAGGACTCACTTGGAGGCTGCCAACAGAGTATAATTTGGTGTTCCTTTGTTCTTGCATTATGGCAGATGATACACGGTCACTGTTCAATCCATGCAAGATTTTATACACTTGTGCCTCTCAGACGACTCCATACTGAGGAGTCCTACTAGTCTCCATCATACAGGAGACCAAAACCCATAAACTACAACAAGATGCAAGAAGACAGGACTAGAATTCCTTCTTGCTATAGAGGCAGACAAAATCTCCCTACCGTTCCTGCAGATTAGAGTTAGAAGCAAATTTCATTAGTTCCAACAATCTACTTAAATCACTTAATCCTGAGGCTGTATGAGCAATACATCCTTATCTGCTGCCTAAAAGCCAACTGCATTTCTGAAGACACCAGAGAACCCTTCTCTTGCTCCCAGGCACACACAGCCTGTCTCCTTTGCTACAGCAGATGACCACCCTGCCGCCCTGAAAGCTGAAAGTGTTCTGAGGCCACATTTTTAAAAGCCAGGTGTGCACACATGGCTCTCTGCCAAAAAGCCTGTGCAGAGTGGCACCAGCTAATGGGGTTGAAGGGGAAACAGCTAGTTCAGGCCAAAAAAGTTTCCTTACTGTGGAATATACTAGCCTCTGTGACAATCTGTTGTGCACCTACTGATAGGCTGGTGCTCCTGCTTCTAGACAGGAAAGCTGCTGTGTGCTAGGAATCTGCTTTCTTGGACCAGGAAGACTGTCCTCAGCTAGAGCTGTTCTTTCCTGCCCCCTTGACTGTTGCCTCCTGTACTCTCAGGTGAAATTAATGCAAGAGCTGGAAGTCTGGTCAAAGCCCATTCCCACTTAAATCATGCTGAAATTCTACCTTTAGATCTCTGGTCCTTGAAAGCATTTTCAGTTCTTTCTACTAAAATCATAAGCAGTAAGCTTCTTCCTGTCTTGAGAACTTGAACTTTCAGGACTTGGCCAAACATCACCATGACTTGCTCCATGCAAACACAGATACCATTCGGCCAAATGCCCCAAATTGTCTCTGGAGAGAATGCCTGCAATGAAGATGAAATGAAGAAAAAAAATACAGAAAACCAAGAAGATGATTTTTTTTTTCTCCCCTCAGCATTCAAATGTGGTAAGCTGCTGCTGAGGTAACTGCCAGAAAGTTTGTGTGCTAGTGGGATTTATCTTAGCTGTGCAGCTGGTGGCCCATTTACAGGCACAGATCCAAACCTGCCAGACACGGGGAGGACTGGATGGCTTCAATGCAGCGGCATTTCAGATCAGCAACAGGCATCCCCCGCTCCTCTAAAGCATTAGTTAGTTCAGACCAGCCACCGTTGGCCATATACCTTCCTGGAAATACCAAACGTACCCAGATTGATCCATCCCTAAGCAGGTGCACGTCAAGCAGTACTCAAAAAGGCCCCTGGAGAGCTGCGGGCTGTGCTGAGCACCCCTGTGGCTCATGGCTCTCCACCCCTGCAGCTCGAGCTGGTGGAATGCCTCGAAAGCCAGCTGTATGAAGTGCCTTGGCTCAGGAAGAGCCCTCCAAAGCATCAACATGAAGGAACAGAGGGGAAACTAATCTAGGTAAGAATTTTTTGCACGGTTTGGTATACAAAAGATTTAAGTGTTCACTGCAGTGAAGCTGGGCAGTAAAGAGGGAAGATGAGAAAGCTAATGAGCAACCGTGAAAGATTCTCAGCACTTTTGTGTAAGCATCACAACACAACACCAATAGTCCTGGTGGTAATTATAAAGATATATAGACTTGAGTCACCATTATTATAAACCATTCAGTCTTGCCTGGGCTATAAATAATGCCACTTAGTAGCTACCAAGAAAGGTTTAGAGGGAGGATTAAGGGTTTGCCTCTTCAGTCAGAAGGAAAAGGGTAAACATAGATTAAGCTGAATCAAATACTAGAAAAAAAAAAATAATCCCAAACCCAGTGACCACACCCATGTGAAGGACAAAGTACAGAAATCATGATATGTAATCTCACTACATAATCCATTTGATTTCTTTACCTCAGGATCTGCAGACTGGTGTCCTCTAGTGTTTGAATCATAAAACATGCAGATGAGCATTTTCTGCTACCTGACATGGTATATATCACACAGACAGAGCAGAAAGAACTGCAACCAACACTCAGCTGCATTCTGGCAGTGGAAAGAGAGTCTACAAAAACAAGCACATTAATTTTAAAATAAAACTTACCCAGATTTCAGCATAATGAGGTTTAGATATGAAGTGCCACGTCCAGTAAAAACTGCTGTTCCGTCCTCAGGAAGAGGCAGGGAAGTCAACAACTCTGATGCCACTCTGCCCTGGCCTATCTCCATATCAATCACCCCTCTAAAAGATGGGAGAGTGATGGCAAATTCTGCAGGCAGACTGGAACAATGCCTCTTTCCAGCTCTTGGGCTTGAATCATGCACAGATGTCTGCAACATTCACTGTCCTTCTGAAAGTATCTGAGCTGTGTGGACCTTACAAATAAATGAGAGATAAGTTTACAAAAAGCAGGGCAATTTTCTGTGCTTTGAAACCCCAACATGTGGGAATTACTATTAGCAGTGTAGGGCTCCTTAGCATAAACCGGTTTTAGAAACAGTCAGCTTGTTCACACCAATTGAATAGAGGAAAGAAAGGAGAAGCCTTTGTACTCCCTGCTAATACAAGCACCTACATGGGGTCCTTTTGGTTAGCTGTGCTGAGCCAGTACCATTTTTCTGGATTTTGCCACTTGACCAATGGGTAAAATTGTAAAGGCACAACTTCTGCTGGAGTCCTCTCTGTGCACAGATGACAAGCCCTGGCAACACACGCTAGAGTAGTTTTAGAAGCTACCACCTCCAGCTGTCCACTCTGCCTCTCTGCCAGAAATGGCCACTACAGAGAAGAGACAGCAGAAGCAAATGTGTGCTGACTCCTCAGCTGCTGTAATTTATGGGCTGACGTACGAACTTAAACTGATACGGGTGGTGGTTTCAGATAATAGGATGATTCGTGAGCTGCAGCTGCAAGGAGCCAAAGCATATCCTTGGGTGCTGTCCTGGCTTGGGGGGGATCTCCCAATCCCCCTGAGGGCTCTTCTGAGAGATCTGTGCAATCAATCAGCCGAATGCAGCCTCTGCTTGGGAACAGTCCATCGTCACACCCAGACTGGGCTTCTCCTGTGAAAAACAGTCGGTAAAGGTGGAATCGCGTCCTTCAGCAAGAAGGGGCAGACAGATCCACGCTGCCACATGGAGCGAATTAAAGAAAAGCTACTTTTGGAAGGAATCTTGTTTTGTAGGAGGGAGTGCTGCAACAGCCACACTGTGTGACAGCGTGCGAGGTGCGGGAGGAGCGGCACCGCGGCGGCAGCTACTGCTCAGGCTGGTTCCAGTCACCATCACTAATACACCGACTCGCTTGGTACGTGTGGTACGAGTGATATTCTGAGGAACTGCCACCCAGACGTTAAATCCACTGACACCATCCCTGTCACATACTCAGCTTTTGCCAGCACTGAACATAAGATGACAATTTAATCCTCACAGGCAGATAACAGTAGCACAGCTGGTGTAACAGTGTGCTGAGACTTCAGCCCTCACAGGCCTCGCATCTGCCTTCTCACTGCCTTGGAAAGGGGTCACCCGGAAAATACGTGTGAGCTCTAAGGACTCAGCACACGAGAACCAATTAGAACAACATGAGAATCAAAGAAAATGTTTAGATCTCAAGCTCCACCGAGAAGACAGTATTTCAGTCTCGCCCGTACATCACATAATCAAATGGTTGAGCCTAAAAAAGTACAGAAAAATTGACCAGAGGAAACAAACTTCTTTGATTAACAGAGAAAACAAGTGAACATGCACAGCCACTTGAATAACATTGGACCTTTAGAGGTGAAGGGCCCTTGGAGGTGGTTTGTTCCACATGGAAGTTACACAAGTCAGAATC